TCACGACTGACGTAACGTAGAACGTGACTGACTGAAAGGGAACATTCAGTTTTGGGGATTATGGAATTTAATTTTTTTAATTTTGCCAGTCCTAGTTTAAGTAATTACATTTTTTTATTTTTTTTTATTTACATTAATATGACTTCTAGTTAAGAAATGTCTTTTGTTGACCTTTAAATATTGTCATTGACAATAGGGGGCCTTAGAGACAAAAAGGTGGAAAACCACTGCTCCAGAGGAGATTACTGGGCTGTTTTTCTCACAATATGTTTCTGTTTGCTCTCCATTTATCTCTATGCTATCTAGGAGAAGCAACTGAGATATTAAAGAGATGTTGTTTTCTTTCCTTTGGGCTGAATTTCCCAAACAAGTTGCACAAATGAAGACAACAAAATAAAGCTACTACTGGAAGCCACTTGAAAATGATCGATTAATAGAATAATAAATTAAAAGCTTGATTACTGTCATTGCTACTGATACACTAAAAACACAGGTTAGTAGTTGGAGAATCAACTCTTTACGACTGGGATTACCTAAACTAAGAGTCGCTTCACTCACTATAATCCTCAACTCATATCCTACCTGCAAGTTATGATATCTTTCAGTATGACTGGCATGATTCCCTAGTCTTGACTGATTGTGTTTCTGCTGTAGGTGCAGCTCCTGAAGGATCAGCTGGCCGCAGAGACGGCTGCCCGCATGGAGGCACAGGCCAGAACTCACCAGCTGCTGCTGCAGAACCGAGACTTACTGCAACATACTGCCCTGCTGGTGAAACACCTCAGCCAACTGGAGATCAGAGTCAGTGGAGCCACACAGAGTAAGACACACATGTGCAAACACAACACTACCCATAATCCTGAAGGCAGCTCCACCAATTGGAGAAGTCACTCCCATAAAACATCACAAGTTATTTAATAAAATTAGTCTCTCTACACTCTAAAACAAATTAAATATTTGAATATTTTGCAGTAAACTTAAAATATAATGTATTTTAAATTGATGATCAACATAATTCATAGATTAATATTGTACCATTATTTATGATTTGGTTATTGTCAGTGCTTCATGAGATGAGTATTTCATTCTGTCAATTACACTACCGTTCAAACGTCTGGGGTCAGTAAGATTTATTTTTGAAGAAATTAATACGTTTATTCAGCTAGGACATATTAAATGAATGTGACAGTAAATACATTTATAATTTATTTATTGCTGCTTAAAATGTAGCGTTGCCAATGCCATTACAGAAAAAAAAGCATTTTTAAATATATAAAATTATTTTAAATCAATCTTTCCCAATATTTCTGTTACTATATTTTTTATTTGAATGTATTTTTGCACTTTTTAATATTAACAAGAATTTTAAGCACATCTTTTTTCCCTGTATTTTTGTGATTTCTGAAAATACCTTTTTTGTTTTTAGACAAACATTATGTTGCTGTGATTCATCTCTTAGCTACTTAGTTTGGTTCATAGCTAAGAACTTTGTATAAGATATTTCTACAAAGGAAATGAATGGGAAAAATACTGGCTGCTGAAAAAGTGGGTGGTCACTGTTATGCTCTATTACAGTCATAAACACACACATTTGGCAGGCTGGGATGTTATTGAGTTGGTTGGTGTACACTAATCTCTTTCAGAGTTTAGTGCAGGAGTTTATTGGGTTTGATTCATCAGCACTGGGCTCTATGCCGACTTTCACTTTCAGAGATTGTGTGTGTGTACAGTATGTGTGCATGCATACGCTTATGCCTGGTGGGATGATGGTGGTGTACTTGCTGGATGGTATGACCGGTCATTTGGAGAGTTATTGAAATAGTCTGTCACCATTATGCCCTTGAGTGCCTGTCACTGAAGGGCTACTGTACGGCCAGTCTCCCAATAGCAGTTTTTTTCAATCGTAAGCTTCATTTACATAAGCGCTGAAATTCAAAACATTCGGTAGGTATGATATTCCCATCCTCTATTGTTATTGACTGTTTCAAGTTGCCTATTAAGACCTTGACTTTATGTCTCAAATTTGAATTTGTATCTTCTAGAAGAAGAATCACCATGGAGTAGCGTGCCCCCTCGTTCTCTCTCTCTCAACCTGAAGAGCCTCTACACCCCTCGCTCAGACCAGCCCATCACCTCCACTCCAGCAGGACAGCCAGAAAATCCTCCTGTTTCCTCCCACGCTGAGTCCTACCTCAATCTGCTCAACCTGCGTGGTGCTCCCACCGTTACAGCCAACGGGAAGCCAGCGAGTGCAAGAAGTGAAGCAGGACTAGACATGGCGAGAAGGGAAGTTGCTAAGCTAGAAACTCGGAATTCAACAGCACTTGATGAGAGGTAACGACACAAGATAATAGCACTTAAATGGCACTTAAATAAATTAGTTTTAGTCTGCCATTCAAAGATTTACAACTGAAACATATATATTAGGGTGGCCCTTATTGGGGGGTAGTTTTATTTTTTTATTGGAAATGTTAACCTCATTTGTTTCTTCACTAGAAGTATGTAATGTATGAAAATGCTATCCAGATAATTTGTCATTTAGGGTATGCACTAATACAATTTGGACTGTTTTTGATATCAGATGACTCTAACCTTTATGCCACAACTGCCCCTTTGTTTCTCCACTAGAAGTAGGGGCAGTTATGGCCTAATTGTTAGAGAGTCGGACTTGTAACCTGAAGGTCATGGGTTCGTGTCTCAGTACCCTCAGGAATTGTAGTGAATGTACAGCACTCTATTTCACCTTCAGTACCATGACTGAGGTGCCTTTGAGCTAGGCACCGAACCCCCAGTTGCTCCCTGGGCGCTGCAGCAAAAATGGCTGGCCACTGCTCTGGGTGTTTGTGTGTGAGTGTGTGTGTGTGTTCACTACTCACTGCTGTGTGTGTGTGCACTTGGATGGGTTAAATGCAGAGCATGAGTATGGGTTACCACACTTGGCAACAAAAATGGCAGAACACTTGCAACTTCTTTGTTATTCTTGATCTCTGTCAGGACTTCCTAAATGAAGGTCCTGGTACCTAGAAAGAGGTGTTGCACTTATCCAAAAGTACAAAGGACTTCTCAAAGGCCGAAGAACAAATGCAGTTCATTATTATAAATGCAGACTGTCGGAGCACCAAAATCTGTTTCCAGGTCCCCGCAAAAGTACTGTGGTTGAAGGACTTGTCGGATCACCAAAAATATCAGATCTCAGTTTTGTTCCAAGTTCACTTTTTTCACCGATACAGTAATTTCACTTTTTTGCAGCTGAAGGACATGTCAGATTGTCATCACGATCTAGATCGCAATTTTTCAAAGATCAGTTCTCATCAGCAGCATTTGTAAATGTACGTTTTTCCATTTCTCATGAAGGGAAGTTGACTGGGCAGAAGATTTGAAAAGTCCAAAATCAGGGCCACCTTATATATATATATATATATATATATATATATAT